TTTATGGCAAAACGTATAGAAAACAATGTCATAAATTCAGCCATTTTGAGTACTACACGCACTACCTGTATTGTTTTGTTTTCAGAGTTTTTGAGAGTTCACATCCGATTTACACAACTTCTAGGATATCATTTCTGATACAGTACAAAAAAGAGAACTATTCCCAGACAGCATGCATATATTGGCCCAACGTTGGTGATTGACTGGCATGTTGGTTGTACGTTGATATCGGCATAACATAGATGGACAAATGTTGGGCCAATGTTTGATAACGTGCACTTATTAGTAAAATTGGGAAACATTGGCTTCATGTGGTTGGGCTAGCGTTGGCCCAGTGTGTCTTATTGTCATGTAAGTATAGTAATAAAATTTAATTGGTCTTATATGCATGTGATTGAAAACATTACATGGCATGGATTTTAGCAACATATTTGGGAAAAAAATTTGCAGTTTCAGCTCTATCAAGATGCTTAGTTACTATATCTTATGACAGGTCCAGAAATTATTAAATTTTTTACTTACTTTGATATCCTTTCACACTGTGAGAGAATATCATTTTGGTATCCTTTCACACTGTGCGAGAATATCACTTTTATTCAATAAATAAATCACAGTATTTCACTGTTGAAAATGTAATAAAATACAATTTCTGGCCAGTAAAAATATCGAGACAACTCACATCTGATTTAATTGAAACTATAAAGGTGAAACATACTTAATAACCTTGCGATTGCAATGAAATTTAAAATAAGAAATACTAGCTTGTTTAAACATCGTATTATAATACAAGGTTTTTTAAACATGATTATGACATTTCTTAAAATTTTGCTGAAGTTAATTTTTGTGATCAAGTAATTTTGATCAAATCAGGGGCCCTTACTTTGCATAGAAAATCCAAAATATAATTCCAGACTTATTAAAGTAGCTAAGACGGCATCATTTCCGAATGAAACTCAAAATGCTCAGGACATTGTTTTGTATGACCTTTAACATTAATGGGTTTAATTATAGCAAATAATTCATTTTAACAAAAGGACCCCCTGCCTTAAAATATCAAAATGTTGATATTTTGTGATCTTTATTTTCAATCGTGTTAATTGCATTTCATTTAACACAGGTCCACAATTGAAGACTTAAAATAATTTAACATTTAACAACTGCTCCCATCTCTGGAATTTCTAGTGGTCGGTGTTTATGCCTGTTCAAAAGAGCTAGTTTCACTTTTGCATAAAATGGCCATGTAGGTATACCAATTCTATGTCCCATTTTTCAGCATCAATATAAAGTAGACACTTCGTATCTTTATTCCTATAAAAAAAAGTTTCCTATCTGAGAGTCCAGGTATTAAAAACAGGCTTTGCAAAATTGCAATTTCATGAATTTTAAATACAACAGGTTTATTTGAGCATTTTATGCAAAGAATCAAGATATGAGCACATTCCTCGACCCCCCCCCCCCCCCCCAAACAAAAAAAGGTTTTTATCATCTTCAGAAATTTACGTCATTTTTGATAGATACGCTGTCACCAAGGGTTTAAATGATACATGCATTAATTGATGCATTGTCAACTAAAACTTAGCAGTTTGAATTTTTCAAACCTTTACAAGGTAAAAAAGGCCGTAAATGAACCCTGTTCTTTGTTTTATTCGTAGATTTTTAAGAGATCGATCACTGTTCGATAATTTCATCTTGTAATTATTAGTCTAATAAAGCTTTTATACAACTTGCAATCTGTGAACACCTGTACCCTGTAAAGCTTGATTTCCCTGATGAAGTTGACTCACACAGAGCAAAAAAAAAAAAAAAAAAAAAAAAAAAAAAAAAAAAAAAACTGTCAATACTGAACAAAGATTGTAAGGTATTTATATGAAGCATTCAAGATACCGTTTAAAATTTTTTTAATATATATATGTTTTAAGGAAAGAGTTATTATCTAATTATGTATCTACTGTAATGCAAGTTTGTTTTGAAATATTCGGTCCCTGAAATGGTGATCAACAAAAAAAATAAAATAAAATAAAATATATTTTCTTTTTAAGAACAATGCATATGCCTTAAAATGCTTTTCTTTATTTTTTTCTCGTGAAAATTTGATTACTTAACAAACTTTGTAAATTTCATACAAAGGTGTAGTATAATGTAGCTTCTTTTTTTTAAACACATCCCAAACAAAGTTTATAAGATTACAATTATAATTTAGACGAATTATCTTGAGACTTATTCATTTCCGAATTTACAACCTTTACCTAGTTCCAGTAACCAATCCAGTTTGTTTTAATCTTCAGGGGGGAAAAAAAGAAAATATGACTTCCATCCGGGACAAGATGTGTTTCATTCTAATCCTCTAATGCTAGTGATTATCATTGTAATCCTTGCTGCATTGCCCTTTGTAATTTTGTGTTAACTAAGACATGACAGATAAAATCAACATCTCGAGAATGTGGAGATGCAGACCATGAATCGTCAAAAAGGACACCCTTAATGTTCCTGTTCATAATACACTCTACAAAAGACCAGCCTCTTGTTTACTAAACTCGCAATTTCATGGGAATAAAATATAGCTAAAAAATATAAATTCAAAATTGAAGCAAATCCCAAGAATTGTATAATTCTATTGTTTCCAAATTCACTTCAGCCATCTTCTTGGGAATTTTCTCTTACTCTGATATTAAGGTCTTAGTAGAAAAAAAAAATATTGGTTGCTGTACGTTAAGCATGTATCCTTTTCAGAGATGCGGTGGAAACCAAACGATAACAAAAAAAGCCAAAGGAGTGGATGACGAAAATTGGCAGAAAAATATAAAAGAAGACTTTAAGAGGGCTGGGTGGTCGTGGCCATTTTTATACTCTTTTGATCTCCTTTAGAAGAAGAGCTCCATATAAAGATATACAAAAATGATCAAATTTTAAAACTGAAATGTATGAATTTTTTCTTTGCCAAATGATAGTTGACAGCTTAAGATATCATATCTAAAAAAAATAAGTTATATCTGATGGTTAATTTGTTGACCACCCAGCCTCCTTAATGTAATAATGCAGAAAAAAGACGGTCTCCTCAAATATTTTAAATATTTTTAATATTCCAAACAATCAAAATGATTTTGAATTATCATACACATGAACCCTTACTAGATTCCCTAAACTCCATAAAAATCCTTACAAACAAAGATACATAGCGGGTTTAGTAAATGTTTTACCAAGCCTCTGTCTTTACTCCTCAATAACAAAAAAATACAGTAATGAAGAAACAACAATATATTCAAGAAGTGGTGTAAATCAAATGTGGATACATGAAAATGTAAAGAACTTTAAGAACATTTGAAATCACAGAATTTTACCACAATCAATATTATAAAACGTTCGACTTTTCGACCGTTTATGCTAAAATTCCCAACGATATATTGTAGTCCAGGCTTTTTGACATCATTGACAGCTGCTTTTTCATTAAAAATGGAACTTGTAAATTTACTTATCTTGTCATTGATCATTTGCAAAATTATTTTGTTTTTAAACATTCTGATTGAACACACACGTACTCTAAAGCTGACATTAAAAAGATGCTTGAGTTTCTAATTGACAATATCTATGTAGTTTTTGGGGCCAGGTCTTAAATTCCAACAATCTGTCGAAAATCTCATGGTACCAATTGCGCCCCGTTATTAGCAGTCCTATTTTTGTATTCATATGGAGCAGAATTTAATCAGAAACTTCTACACGAGAAGATGAAAACGCATGTTGTTGCCTTCAACTCCACATTAAAGTATATCGACGACGTATTAACAATTAACAATATTTACTTCCATTCATATGTCGAATCGATATATCCAAGCAAGCTTGTCATTAAAGATACCCTGAGTCTAACACATCTGTTTCATATTTGAATATTTTACTAGAAAAGACGTTAATGGTAACCGAACAACCAAGCTTTATAATAAACGTTATGACCTCAACTTTTCAATCGTCACCTTTCCCTACTTAGGTAGCAAATTACCCTTATCACCTGCATATGGGGTTAATGTCTCTCAGTTTGTTCGATACGGAAGAGCATGCTCTATGTACAAACAGTCTCTAAAACGAGGCAAGCTATTGACAAACAAGTTGATGAAACACGAATATCAATAGCCTCGTTTAAAGTCATCAGTTCGCAAGTTCTATGGTCGATACAATGACTCTCTCAGCAATTATAATCCACTATGAAGTACAATGCTGACTGACGTTTTTATACTAATTCTTAGGTCATTATTTACGGAATTGTCTACGGAATTTTTCAACTTTTCCTGATCACGACAAGAAGCACAAGGCGGGTGTGACTGGTCGGCAGGGGATGCTCACTCTTCCATGGCACCTGATCCCAGCTCTGATGTTTTAGAGGTCCGTGCTAGCTCTGCACCTGATCTGTATTTTTTCAATGGACTTTTGAACTTGAATACTGTTCGTTCTCTCCATATTTCATCTAATGAATGCATACATGGAGTAATGAAAACGAGTTTAAAAGCGTGCTTACGGGCTATTTTGGAGTAAATAATAAAACTACATGTAAATGTAATTAAGATTTTCAATGATTACATGTAAGATTACCTCTATTTTTTGTATTTAATAGGAACAGATCTTTATTACAATTAATTTTACCCCATGTCGACTAAATAGTGCGTTCCCCGCTCTTTGTCGACATTGTACATCATAAACCCGATTAATCTTGATCAAAATACAAAGTCAGAATATCAATAACCTCAATAATACAGAGATAGCATATTTTGATCAGTTGATAAAATATCAGAATCTATCACACTTTGTATGTACATCCTATTTACTGTTGATAAAAAAAAAAATCACGTGAATGGTTACATTAGAAAGATTACATTGAGAGATTAAACATTCAAACTTTTAATGAAATAGATGTCTCAAAGGATGGCAAACTATTTATCTTTAAGGTCTATCTTGGTTTTATATTTTATGTGCTTTACAAATTTGGAATACGTGTCCTGTCTTTTGTTTCACAGCCATGTTAACAGCACACCGACCGACCACAGTTTAGTTTCGACAGATTCAGCTACGATACATCATCTTCTTGACAAACAGATGTCTTACTTGGAGAAAGAGGTGCAACTACTTACAGAAAAGGTTTCGAGTCTGGAAAGGAATCGGTCCAATACTGACACTGAAATGTCGAGTTTAAAGCAAAAACTTAGAGCTATTGAACAACGCCTTTTGTCCACCGAACAACAGAATATTGAACTAGCCCAGAAATTAATATTAGTGGAAGACCTATGTAACCGTACGAATATTATTAATCAAAATTCGAATCTTCAGGAAGAGAGACTGAAAAAAATCGAAAGTGACGTAAGCAACACAGTGTTACTAACACGGACATTGGCTGTCAATGGTGAAAAATATAGAAACAGAACACTGAATACAGAACAAAACGTGTCACTTTTAAAAGATGAACTTCGAAATGTCCATTTGTTCTTAATGGAAACAAGCACCAAATCAGAGGAACTGAATTCGACTTTAGAATGGCATATAAACAGTACTACACTGAAAATTCAAAAAGTTGCAGGTTAGTTAATTACAATTATTTTTTTTAAAATCTTATAGATGAAAAATTCAAAGAACATGAAATATAAAATAAATATTATTTGTTTTTTGATGAGAATGAAAACACAAACAACACGATAAAGCAAATGGTATCAGACATTCGACAGGGCCATCTTGTGTCACAGAAATTCGGGAATTCAATCAATAAGTTGGAATCGAATGTTCTAGGTATTGAAATGTTTGATTTTTTAAAAGTAAAAGTAGATATAACACTTAGTTATTTCAGAATAATATTTTGTTTATCTTATTAAAAAGGGTTGATATTCTATAGACAAAGTATTATCTGTGCTTCATCATATACATGGGGGATTTCAAAATGTGCTTGGATATCATATTTTTGATACTATAGTTATTTCTTATATAAAACGTATGGGACCCATGTCGCTCTTCTGTGCAATTAAGCTGCGGACACTGTAGATTCCTTATTTTACGCGAAATGGCTCTTAGACGAAAACAGACATTCCTGGGTGGAATGTTGATCAAGATATTTACCTGTATTTCAGCAACAAAAAAATATATTAATTTTGATTCGCAAGTGATGCAGCTTGCAAGATTACACTAATTCATTTAAAGTCTCGCGTATGTTTAAGAATCTACAGGTTCGAGGATATGCTGACCAAACGTTTGTATTGTCTGTTATAGAATTCCAGTATAAAGGGGGATATATTCCAGATTGTTTTTTTTTTTTTGGGGGGGGGGGGAGGGGGGGTGAAACGGTTGTATCATTCTCCTGTTATTCATTTCATTTTACTTTGAATAAAAACAAATCTATCATGTTTTTCAATTTTAGATATTCAGAATCATGTCGGATTTACTGCTGGTGTAACAATTGACAGCTCATGGGCTGGTTCAACTCTGGTGTTTAACAAACTAATATACAGCAATGGTGGTGGTTTCGATACCTCAACAGGCGTATTCACATCACCTGTTTCAGGGATGTTTGTTTTTTATGTTTCCACAGTCTCAAAGTATGGCAATGATCTATTTCTGGACATAGTGTTAAATGGTGCAAAAAAGGTTAGAACAATGTCATGGTATCCAGGTGGCACGCCTCTTATTCAAACAGGAACAAATGCTGTTTTTGTAAAGTTACAGACTGGGGACAGGGTTTGGATTCAAAAGTACAGTGGTGGAACGTATCACACATACAGTGATGCACCGACTGTCACATTCACTGGATTTCAGTTATAAGCAGTTTATAGCTGAGCTTTGTATATCGTTAGAAAAGGAATAGGCATAAATATTGAACTTATTTATACTTGGGAAATTATCTTATAAATTGAATAACTGTACAGGAGATTCTAACTGAACACTTCTTTTTTTTTAAATATTTGAAATATTTAGAAATTGGTTATTATTATTATTATTATTATTATTATTATTATTATTTTACATTTTGTCATATCATGTTGTTTACGCTGAATTGAGATTGATCTGCTTGACTGACTCGTACCGGAAACCTAGTGATTAACATTATTTTGAGATAAGAAAAAAAAAAATGCTTTATGGGTAGAAACTGATTTCCGAAAGGTGACATAATATTTTCTCTGATGAGTTATCATAATTTTGTACTGCAGGGATGGAAAAAAATTAATGATAGAAATCACAAGAAAAACGTTATCATATAAGAAAAAAAAAAAAAAAAATGTTTCTCTCTTCTTATAAAATGTACTACACACACAAACAGATATAGATATTGATGTTTGCCAACAGAATTACAAATGTCTCACACCTTAATGACGCGTATATGCTACAGATTATTCAAGATTTGCTTCACAGTATGGATAAAGTATGATGCATCCTAGCAATAAGGCATTTGGCTTTGAAATACCCGGAAAATGTTTAACTTCAATGAATGAAAGATGCTTTTTTGAAATTTCTTTTTAACACTTTTCACATGACTTCTTCGACTGTTGTCCACAGACTCAGTTCGGTTGTTAAAATAAGGTATTTAAAGTACTGCGCCCTACTACTTACAACAAATCAATGATCGCAAGACCCTTCATAATGCCGAATCTCGTCAAACATGACGCTGCACTTTCAGAAAATGTGCTGAAACAAACCTTGTGCATTGCAAATAGTACATTGTTAAATAACAACTGTAACAAATAAAATTATAAAATTATGCACAGAAATACCTCGAACGAACTGTCATATTTATCAGCTTCTTACCAGTTAGAAAACGTACTGTGTGTCTAACAGAATCCTGCCTTATATATCGGCTACCATTGGTTTTACCAGTCCTACAAATATCTAACTAAACATATTCGCCAATCATAGAAAATATCTAGAAATCTGTAAAATCGTGTCATAATTCTAATAGTTCTACCGGACCCGTGATCTGACCAGTTATTCATATATCTATTCTAAAAATAACGCCCATCTGCACGGTAACCAACCGAGGCAAAACTATTTCCAACAATCAAAACGTAGAAAAAACCAACATAAATCTTAATTTGCTTTTTTTTTTTTTGTTTTTTACATATTCCATTTAAAAATAACTTATATTCTGAGAATGACTGACGCTAGACCAGAGGTTGGATATTGTCCCTTTTCCATAATTTGAGATAGTACGATTACCATGTATCGCTTTCTTTTGTTATCAGAAGTAACGTCAATAGAAATATACTGTACATGTAATAGCAAAGCTCTATATTGAACAATAACGTTTACACCGCATATTCCGCGGCAGTTGACGTCAATCCACCCATTGTGATGAAGGGAGTAGGCTGCACAATGTTTAGAGTGGTAAATATTGTTCGGCTCTCCAGGATTCCAGTTACCGTAGATATTGAAATTGATTTCCTTTCTCTTTACGAATTGTTAAAAACTATCCAATATTCAATTGGTTTTCCTTTTTTGAAAGAAAATTCTTTTATTAAATCGAATGCATTTCATTGAGCCAAAAAAGTTTTGGGTAGGTTTAAAACGTGCATATTTATAGATTTAATTTAGCAACAAGTACATGCATTCACTTGATGTCAAATACTGAATTATTTTATTGATATGTCTTTTTTGTATGATACATTAAATTCAACCAATGATATAATAGAAGATTTCTGTTTTTTTTGTTTTTTTTTTAATTTACGTTATCTGGCTTTCGTCTAAAGGTATTCCATATCTGATAGGCTCGGGTACAATGAAATTGATTGACTGATAGACATGAATCGGTTGAATACTCGGTATATTTAGACTTAATTTCCATTTATTACTATCAGTTCATGTGTGAAAGAGTGGAATATGTTCTAACAAGAGGGTTCAGTTTTAGCTATATTGTGCCCTAAAAAATTAATGTTTTCAAAAAGTTTTGAATCTGGCTTAAATATTAAACGAGTATATGACCGTGATAAATCTGGAAAGAATATGGCATGGAGTAACATTCTGGAAATATGACGTCATTAACTTGATGTATTTCTTTATTTGAAACAGAAAAAGCCTCAAAACGACCCATTTCATGGGTTATTTCCTCAAGAAAATTGTGTCCAATCCGTCGACCACTTTTATTTATGGATACGTTGTGAAAAATTCTTTGAAAAATCACATATCTCAAAATCTTCTGTGGGTGATGCCTATGGACAATATTATCTGAAAGAAAATTTCATTGAAAATTGATGTCTTCTGCAACTTTTTAGGAAAATACGGGAAAATGCACAATTTTATGACGTCATAATTAGCATTTAGAAGATCATGTGAGTAAAAAGATTTGCATGATCGTTCTACATGTAATCTTAATGATTCAGAAAGTATTTGGTTTAATTTTTTCCCTCAATTTCATTTTTAAGAAAAACACAGCGCGGATATGTTAAGAAAGCATTCAAATCATTTTCTGAAAATTTAGACATTTTTCAGCAAATTAAGTTTGATTATTTATCAAAGCCGCTGATAAACGTAAACTATTATTAACTATTGCATAAAGACAACAGAGTGTCTGAGGCCAAGAAGTGCACCACCATGACGTCATCACGTGACAGCTATTAATAGCAAAATATTCCTTTATGAAAAAAAGGCAACAGAACAACACTACCCCGGAGTCTTATTTTTTCTTTGAATAAATAATGTAGCTAAAAAACATCTCTTATGCCTATAAATTGCTGCTAGATTCCCACTGTCCGATCGAGAAAATATTATTTCCATACATTCGCACGAACCTTTACCCTATGTTTGGCATTATATACATATAAACCGAAATATTTCTTCAAACTATGTTTGCATCACGATTCTAGAAGCAGTGTTATTGACCGCAGTCTTTTGATCTGTACAAATCGTACGTTTTGAGGTATCCACTCTAACAAAAAAAATATACTATAGTAAACTATAGTTTACTATAGTTAACTATGGTAAATCAAAGTTCCAACGTTTTCACTATAGTAAATCAAAGTTCCAAAGTTTTTGCTATAGTAAATCAAAGTTCCAAAGTTTTCACTATAGTAAATCAAAGTTCCAAAGTTTTCACTATAGTAAATCAAAGTTTCAATCTTTTTATTATAGTTAATGAAAGTTTCTCAGTTTTCCCTATACTTAATCAAAGTTCCATTTTTTTTCATTAGTTTAACATATCTTTATTAACTTTTTTTTTTGTTATTTAGCCGTTTTAGGGGAGGGTGGATATGGGGTTGGTTTTTGTTTTTTTCATCTTTATTTAAATATACAAAGTAGTTAATTCAAATGCAATATTTACATTTATAAATAAAAAAAAAAATACATGTTGACTGAAGTTGATGAAGCAGATATTTTGATTTCTTATGACATAATTTTTTTTAATGATATATTATTTTTTTTTCTCCATAAATAAGACTTACGTTACATCTGCATAACATTAAAATTAAATACATTGAAATAAATATTGCTTATTTATCGGCGCAAGCGACAACATTTACATTTAAGTTTATATCTTGTACATTATTCTTTTAGGGGGGGGGGGGTCGGGTTTTTAAAATGTTCTCTAAAGCTTTTATGAATCTTAAACTTGAAATATCACAAAATGTAAAGAATGGGAATCAAAAACATAATTCCACGGGATTTATCGTACTTTATCAAAGTTTCAAAGTGTTTACCTTAGTAAATCAAAGTTCCAAAGTTTTCACTATAGTAAATCAAAGTTCCAAAGTTTTTACTGTAGTAAATCAACGTTCCAAAGTTTTTACTATAGTAAATCAAAGTTTCAAAGTTTTTACTTTGGTACTATAGTTAACTATAGTAAACTATAGTTAACTATAGTAAACTATAGTTAACTATAGTTTACTATAGAGTTTTTTTGCTAGGGCAGCTTAATGTTGTTCTTCTGCATAATTGTTGTCACGAATGACCGAGGAAAGGCCGACAGGAATACGTAAATAGCTGATTGTCTTCAATAGAAGATATAATCGATGAAAATAAATTAGCATACATTTTTAATAAAACTCAACTGCATATGAATCACAAGCATTGATTCTTATCCCCCTTTTATCTTTTCTCATGCCGATAAATAATACAAGTGACAGATACAGCATAACAAAGTCAAAACATTTTATTTTTGCTAATATTTTCATGTTTCTATTCATTTTCAGGAGTTAAATTACATCTCTAAATACCAATATTAAGAAAACTTGTGTTCTGAAATTGACGTCATCGTCATATTGTATTACTGATTTCGTCAAGTCAGAATATCTGAGTGTTTCTATAACACACCTGCTTTTTTATGACCTTGACCTGTCCTTTGAGATATCTCCCACCGTTTTAATCTGTTTTACATTGATAAAAATATTTTTTTAAATCTTTTTTTTTTAATTCAATAAAGAGACTTAAATGAACGTTTAAAAGTTTCTTTAATAAAGGTGTAATCCGCAAAGGGCATTTTTAAGAAAAGGATAGCCTCAATTAAGGCCAATGTAATAATATGGTTTTACGTATAATTATGAATTATTCCAAAAGTTCAGTTACACTGATTAAGTTCTCGTCTTTCCGCCAGTCTGTTGCAATTTTATATCCCAATACATCCTCTCTTATCTTAATTGACAGCCACAAGACCATCTGTTTCACCTATGATTAGCATTTCCATGTATATGCGTAAGTAGGGAGGTATAAATCTATGACAATAATTGGGTTCGACAAAAGAATAGCATTTTTTTTTTCAAGAAACAATACGTAAATTATCCGTTCTCAAAAACATTTGACAACTAGATTTGCGTTTACGGTCTAATGTCCCTATGATA